CGCCCCCCCGGGTGCAGGTCTGGGACGTGCGGTGGTTTTGTAGCCATTGCTGCCTCCTCTCCTCGTGTGTTCGACCCCATCCCGAGGGCTGGCATGTCTTGGGGAAGCTGGAAGGTGGCAGCAGGTTTGGGTACGTGTTCTCCTCCAGCACCCGAGCACGAGCGCAGGGATCCGTGGTGAGGGATGCAGCCGGGCTGGCTGGCTTTGTGCCACCCGCTGCCGGCACTGCCCGTGGCCTGCTGCTCCGCTCCCAGCTGCCACGGAGCAGCGTGCAGGGGTGTGGGGAGCCCAGCTTGGACCCCAAATCATGCTCTTGCAGGACTGAGGCAAGCTGAGCTTTTGGGAACATGGAGCACGTGAGGTTTGTCTGTAAGAGGCTGCTGAGGGAAGTGAATGGGAGCCTGAGGACACATCGCCCGTAGCTCGTGTCACATCCTAGGATCTCTCTTTGGGATGAACTGTCTTTCGTGAGCCTCCCAGGGCTGCTGTGGGGCTCAGCCCCTCTGCCACGGCTCACTGCTCCCCCAGGGAACGATCCTGAGTGCTGGTGCCAGACGGATCCATGAGCAAACCCCACGTCACGTCCCCGCCAGCATCTCCTGGCACGACAGTCGGGTCAGGGTGACGGGATGGGAGCCAGGAAGGGAGGGCGGGCTTCATCAACGATACATGTGAGGTTTGTCTCTCTTTCCAGCACTGGCTACCAAACAGACCTACGTCAGCTATAGCAACCACGCGATTTAGCTCCAGCCATCGCAACTGCCTGGCACGAAGGGAGGCTGCGGGTGCCACGACGCAGGAGGGAGCTGAGTCGCATCGCTCGTCGCAGGACGCTGGAGGGGGAGCTGGATGGGACGGGGAGGTGGCAGCCGGGGGGACATGTTCCTGGCTGGGCTGCTGAGCAGAGCTCCTAGGGAAGATGGCCATCAATGACAGCAAAAAATCAAACAAAAAAAGAAGAAACAATAAAAAGAAACCACCGTGACAATGCATGCCTCCCCACGGAGGAAGAGGAACCGCTGAGCAGGGGGCACGTAGTGCGGGGAAGAGGTGACGGACTTCGGCAAGGCTTTGGGTTTTTTTTCTGTATCTTGACAAAAAAAAAAAAGAGAGACCCAACATTTTCCCTTTTCTGGAATCTGTGAGATTGTTTGTGGTTGTGCAGAACCTTCTGTTTTCTCTTTATTTATTTTTTTTTTAATCCTCCATTTTCTTTTGTTCCTGTCTTCCTCTGTCCCTCTTCACTCTCTCTCCCGTATCCTTCCAAATTCTCTATGTTGCAAAAAGGAAAAATAAATAAAAATACATAAAATTTAAATAAAAAAAAACAGACAACGAAATAAAAGAAAATCAAACCTAGACTGTGTTCAAAGTGCTGATTTCTATAGGTGGTTAATTAATGTATGTGATGACCATATGGATTGAAACATGTCTGCTGTATGTACTGACCAGTCAAAAAACAAAAACCACACACACACACACACAAAAAAAAAAACAAAGTTCAGTGCCTGGATGTTTATGAATTATTCGATGACTGTGTAGAGCATGATCATTTTTATACGAGGAGATTTCTAATAAAAGACCATGGTTTTGCACTCAGCGTTTGCCGTCTCTTGGTGACTGTTCGTTCCAGGCTCCGGGAGGTGACTTGGTTTTGGCTAATGGGGAAGGTTTTGGGTGGCCTCCCTCCCCGGGCCATCCTGCTGCAAAAGGGGTCCTTGTGAGAGGGGACGGGACAGGGAGAGGAGAGCTCAGCATCACCCAGGCACACATCCTGCTCAGCGATCCGGGGCGGAAAGGGCTGATTCCTCCTCGTTTGCTCTTCCCCAAAGTGTGGGCTGAGTCTGGAGGGGTGGAGCGGAGAGGAAGGGATTTTCCAGGGCTTTTTTTTTTTCTCCCCTCTTTAGAGGCAGGGCCAGCTCCACCCTCCCCATCAGGACCAACCTGGGCTAATTAGGGAGTTAGCAGCTAATAAAGGGCAGCTCTGCCCTTCCTGCAAGGAGGGTTCCTCTTCCTGGCTCTGCCCTGCCCCTTGGGATGGCTCAGCCCGGTGTGCAAGGTACGTGCCTGGTCAGAGTTGGTTTTGCGTGTTTTGGGGAGTTTTGGTGTGTTTTCTGCCGGTGTCCGTGCCCTTGCGGTCTGGGAAAGGCCCTTGGAAAAGAGGTGGCTGTGCATTTTTTGCTGCAGGGTAAGGAGAGGATGGTCCCAGGTTGTCTTTCTTCTGGAGAGCAGGTAGGGGAAGAGAGGCAGGGCTGCCTCCAGATTCTGGGCAAGTCGTTGCTTTAGGTGCCCAGCAAAAGCACTGGAGCTGGCAGCGGTGTCCTGCCCTTGCAGCCACTGGAATAGGCTGCCCAGGGAGGTGGTTGAGTCCCCATCCCTGGATGTGTTTAAGAATAGGGTGGATGATCTACTTGGGGATATGGTTTAATGGGGATTAGGGACCGTTGGGCTCCATGATCTCTAAGGTCTTTTCCAACCTAGAAATCTATGAATGAGGGTGCTGGGATGTCTCCCCATCCCTTCACATGTGCTCCTCCTGGTCTGAAGGTGCCCCCGTATTCCCTTCTCTGAGCCTGAGCGAAGTTACCCCTGGGTTTTGCACGTTTCTGGATCTATTTGTGTATTAATCTCAGCTCTGCTCTCGCTCTGGTGGGTCGCCCAGGCTGTGTGCCCTGGGGAGGGGAGGCCTCGATGCCACTCTGAGCACCGCGGGGAGCTTCAGTGTTTGATCGATGCCCGAAGGGAAACGCGACTGTTCCCTGTCAGCACGGAGAGGACAAAGCACGGCTTGAAGGCTGGAGTTAAAGAAAGAAAAAAGGAATGTAATGAAAAGCTTGAAACTTTGATAAGATCATACTTGTCAAAAGAGCTTCTCAGGAGAAAAAAACTGCTGCGTTCCCACCGCATCCATCACTGTTGGATCAGGTGTGAAACGTCACCTGGTTCAGAGGGCTCCCAGAAAACCTGAGTTGATGTCTCTGGTGCTGTTTCTAGCTCTGAGATACTGCTCTACTGTTTTTACAAGCAGTTTCCCACCCCAAATTCTGCCTGATAACGACTGGAACGGCGGATTCTACCTTAATTACAGCATCCCCCTCCCTTCCCTCGTGGTGTCTGTGAGGAGGAATGAGCCCTCCAGAGAGGCTGTGGCTGGGGGCTGACCGTGCTGCCACGGAGCCGATCTTCCAGGCTCGTCTGTCCTTGCATGGCTTGCGAAGTTCTGCGAGGCACGGTGCAGACACCAGGGCTGGGCAGGGTGTGGGGAAGAGGAAGCCTATGGTAGCGAGGCTGGGTCTCTTGGGATGATGCTTTCTTGGCATCCCAGGCAGGATGCAGAGAGCTGTGCTGCTCTAACTGCTGTGCTTCAGTAGCTGAATGAACCATTTTTTTTCACAATGTGAAGAATTGCAAATGCTTCTCCAACGTGTTGCTCTCCATCTCACTTGTTCCCAAACGTTTCTGCCTTCAAACTGCTTCCCTAGAAACGCAGCCAGCCCTGGAGCACGTCCTGCCAGCCGCTCGGGCTCCGCTGCTGGGGGGTCTTAAGGCAAAAGGTGTGCAGAAACAAGAGTTGTGCTGACGGCTTTGGCAGCCAGCAACACGCAGCAGCTCTAAAAGCCATCGCTTTGGATGGTGGGACGGGGGCTTCCATGACTGGGATGCCACATCCCAATGGAATGCTTTTCATGCTTGCTTGGGGAAGAAGTCACTTGGCTAAACTTCAAACGTGGTTTCGAGTAGATTCATGTTCCCCTCTCGCATCAGGCCCTGTTTAAACACAATAGCTAGCAGCCAGCAACACGCAGCAGCTCTAAAAGCCATCGCTTTGGATGGTGGGACGGGGGCTTCCATGACTGGGATGCCACATCCCAATGGAATGCTTTTCATGCTTGCTTGGGGAAGAAGTCACTTGGCTAAACTTCAAACGTGGTTTCGAGTAGATTCATGTTCCCCTCTCGCATCAGGCCCTGTTTAAACACAATAGCTACCCTGATTTCTTGATGGATCTGGTGGAGTGTTAAATCAAGAGAGTCCTCATGTGGGTACTTATTTTGGTGTAAGTGTGCTTTACAGTGATTCAGTCTTATTCCTCACAGGCTTCAGCTTAAATGATAGAAAGATGCTCTTAAACAGATATGCAAAATATTTGCACAAATCCAACCTCGCCGATCTCGAAACAGAATTTTAATTGGCCTTGTTTGTTTTTTTTATCTCAGCTAAAACCTCCGCTCGTTGGCACCGTTCCCATGTGCTGCCAAGCAGACCTGTGTCCCTCCCAGGGCCGGGCACGTTTCAGCCGCAGATGCTGTGACCTCCGAACACGGCTGGTTAATTTTATACCGTGTTTCATGATACAGTGCTGTTTAATTCTAGACACTTATTTGATTATGAAAGCTAATTAAAAGGGAGCACTCTGTAAGCCATTGCGATGGATGTGGAGCGACGCGGATCTGGGTGGCTCTGGCGCCGATCTCTGCGGAGAGGTGATGGCTGCTGCTGGGGTGGTTTTTGGGAGCTGGTGACTATTAGGATCAAATTTCTGCTTTGCTTTGAATTTTCGAGGGCAATTCTGCTGCCTGTGGCTGAGCAGAGTAGATACTGTGTGATCTGCTGAGGGATTTCCTTGGTGTGTTGTTGCTTGTTATTTTCAAGTAAGGCGCCTGTCCTGAAATCGGTGCTGTTGTTTCTCCTCCCTCCTCGCCTCCCGAACAGCTTAAAAGCACTTGTCTGATTTTTCTCCTAATTTCTTTGAAGAGTTGTTGAATTTAAATAGCAATAATTGCCTGAGTTGCCCGAGTGGTTGACCTGCATGTTTTTCTCTTTTTCTGGGAATCTGAGAAGTAGGAGGGAGAAACCCAGGCTGGTGCCATCTCCCTCCATCACCTGCTTGTATCTTCCCCCTCTTCAAACTTTCTGTTGGTCTTGGCTGCTGTTCCCAATCCCCAGCTCCTCTCCTGAGCTCCCTCCTCCAGGTACAGCCAGGAGCTTTTGGGGTCCGGCTGCCCTTTCCGCAGCACGGCTTGGGGCTAGAATGGGGGGGCTGTGTGCGGGTTCTCCTCCCCAACCCAGTGCGGAATGGCAGCAGCGTGGAGCGTGTCATTAACTCTCTTCTGTGAAAGGCAAATTGCAGACTTTAGTGACACAATTAGGTCTGCTCGATAGGAAATGGAAACCCAAAAGAATTTATCTGAATTTCTCAATCTGCCCTCCACCTTGTCCTTTGCTCCTCCGTAGCATTGACTCGGGTGGAAATTGCTCCCCCATCACTTGAGTCTGGAGATCTCCTGTTGAAGCCACGGCAAAGCTCCTTAGTAAGCAAATCTGGAGGAAGGGGGATGGGAAGAGCAGGGCTGGAGTAGAAAGTGCCTCGTCACTTGCTCCAGGACAGGTCTCCATCCAGCTCCTCTCCCACAGGGAGAGCCACAGGGTCCCGTTTTGGCCCCAGGAGAGCTGAGTGCTGCTTGGAGCAAGGTGTGACTTGCATTTAGAGCAGAAGGCAGCAAAGCTTGTGGCAGATGTTGCAGTTCGTTACGCAGTGGGGGACCAGCTCTGCGGCGAGCGAGTCAAGCTAATTTCTGCTCTGGGAAGCGTTTCTCCCAACGAGATCTGCTGCCAGCTGAAACCTTTGGCCTGGAGCATCAGGATCTTGAACTTAATTTTCCTGGGCATTGGGAAGCCAGCGAGGAGGATGGAGAGCTGTGATGAGCATATCAGTGCTGCTGAGAAGACGAGTGATGCTTCTG